GAATGTTAGAGTGTGCAGTCACTTGAAAAAAATAAAATAGGGATTTGGAGTTAGAAAAAGAACAGAATCTGGTTGTCTTCTGGCAAGTTTTTTTGGTTCTGGTTATCTGCAAAGTATACACCTCTTGTCAGTATAAATAGGGAGTGCCTGTATAAACATTCTTGTTTCGCCTGTTCCACATAATAGTTTCTTGTATCATATTTCTTTTGACCTCGCTATCTGAAACCAATTACAGGAGATCCATTTGGGCTGCATCTATTTTCATAAGAAGCCCAGGCAGCAGTGTTTTTCTCAGAGATGAATATCAACATCAAATATGCTTCTGAGTGCTTTGTTATTTATGTTTCAGAGAGATTTTGTAGCCTTCAGCTCTCAAGAATGTGTCACGCTGTGCTGTTTATACATTGACGATATTAATGGGCGTATATGTCATTTTTCATTTTAACGTCTCAAATGCAACAGGCTGATAGGTTAAACATTCCTGTTTTTAAAGGCAAGATATGAGTGACATCTGTTTCCTAAAAATACACAGATATTTATTTTTAAAAAACAAAATAATAAGTTTACCATCTTTTAGTGGCAGGTTTCAGTTTATTAAAATGATAAAACTTTAAAAATAATTTTAAGGGGTTTGGAATACAAAATAAAAGCAAGTTGTATCTCACAGTATTATTGCCAACAAATTGCAAAATCTACCGCAATTTATCAACTTTAATAGGGTGAGTTATATGCAATTAATTTCATTTTTGTTCTGCTTACGTTTTAGCTATGCCAAAGCTGCACAGTAAATATTAAGAAGTAGTATTCCCAATAAATATTTTACTAGAAGACACAGTGAGTTCTGGAAACCATATGCCCAAATTTCCTGCTTATACAGCCATTACTTAAAGCATTATAATGATTTTCATTTGCATTATTAAAATAATTTCTAATCCTCAGTTCTTTTTATTGCTTTTGTCTACATTGACTTTTTTGTATAGTTTTACTAATTTAGATAACTTAATTAAGGAAAAGTGCTCACTAAATTTGAAACAAATGTTATTGGAAACTGGATACGATTTGACTGCCTTAGTATCCTTTCTTGCTGCTGTTAATTTCAAGTAGGACTCAACATAATTTTGATCTGCCAGATTTATAAACATCTGTTAGTTTGTCTTCACTGAAATGTTTTTTTACTTTGAACGTCAGACAACAAATTATTCAAATTACTTAACAGAAATTCATAAATGATATGTGGGATGGGTGTTTACTTGAAGTGTTCATGTTAAACTATGAATTTTGAAAGACTTTCAAGTTGTCAGTTTGTTTTGCAAGGATTTAATAGCAGCGAATGAATTGGTAGAACTGAACATCTTACAGTCTCATAATCTTCACTTATGAATAATGTCAGTAATAATCCTTTGAAATTAACAGTGTGTTTCTGGGAGGTTGTTTACTGAGTAGCAAAATCTAAAGTTAAGCAGCGCACTGGGAGGAAAATGTACCATATGACAACTGCTATAAGAACAAAGGCTGCCAGTGATTTCTCCTTATGAGTTTTAAATCATCTCTGATCTCTTGAAATTGTTTTCTGTTCTTCTTCTATCTCCTGTGTTTACAATAATCTAAACTGCCACAATAAGATCACTGAAGTATTCAGGTAGTCATCATTTGTAAGGCATTCTGTATTAAAAGATGAGCCTTTACTCCTTCAGAGATATCCCAGCCAGCACATCTGAATCAAAATAGTTTAAGTAGTAGAGCCTTTTATGCAAACGTATCCTGTTGTGCTGCCTTGCTTTTTCATAAAGTGTGACTCTTTTTGTAGTTAGCGGTAGGAAGTCATGCTTTCTTAGGCTGATTCCACGGGATTATGCTAGCCACACTTCGAAATTACACTGGCTAACTTAAATCTAAGCTGCAACATGCTATAATTCTCTAATTTCCAAGTACTGTAAATGTATGGCTTTACCAGATGCTTGCTTGCTTGTTTTATTGTATTGACATGAGATGACTTTGCTGCTAAGGAAGATTAAGACACTGAAACAACTTGCCGAGTGTTCCAGTTATTTGCAAGTATACATCAGCATTATATTATTATAATTTCTTTTCCAGATAAAGGCTGTGTAATGAATTTTCTGCTGCCACCACAAGTGAAAAATAATTATCTTTATGGTTTTTCCCGTCTTCTTTAACTCTGGATCTCTTCTCTGGTTCTTGTAGCAATGTCATCCCGAGAGGTGAGGTTGGTTTTCCTGTACAGTCTCCCATGAATTCAGGAGCGCAACAATTCTGTCGCTTTCATTCATGTTTTCCGTTTTTTTGGGAAGGACTATAAATTCGCTGTAGATCTTTTCTGTTCATGCATTTAATACATGTTTTGTGCTTAAACCACTGCAAGATGTTGGGACCAAATCCTGGTGCCTCTGAAATCAACAGATATATTTATCTCTGATCTCAGACAGAGCAGGATTCTCCTTTAGGATCTGCTGAAGAGCTGAGAGTGCAGAAGAGATTATGCTATTCACATAGGAAACAGGGCATCCAGCGGTTCCTCAGTAACAAAATATTTCAAGTGCACTTTGAAATATGTTAACTTTTATTTATTCTTGGCAGAGAGAAGCTAGGTCTGTGCGTCTCGTTGCTTAGGTTCGGAGGAATGTATAGTCTTTGTAAAGCTGACCTGTAATTACTTGAGAATTTGATGAAACAATACGGGGATTGTTGTGGGAATGTCTCCAAATGTTAAAAGTCTGCTCTGCAAACTTTGTACCAGAGCCTTCTATGGGGAGACGAATCAATGTTGTTAGGAGATGGTGCTAGTGCATTCAGTTTGTTTACTTTGGTTTTCTATGTCTGCCTGCCTTCTCAGAAAACTTGCTTGGAGCCAGACTGTAGCAGCCCTCTCTCTGTCTTTTCATAATTGATCAGGGGATGACTGCCTTCCCTGAGGGTTAAGACGTGGCAACTTTTTCTGTTTGCTCAGCATCTCAATGCAGTAGTTCAAACATTGTTCACACCAGCTGGCAGTGTAATGCCATATGCACATCTTGTCAAAGCAACTGTTGTCATGGATACTAGAAACTATCTTAAAAACCAGCTCATTTGAGTCTAATCAAAATCGTACCTTTCTTTATCAGTTGAGAATCTTTATTATTTTAGGGAACATTGATCAACTGGCATTTATTGCAGTGTATTCCATCTATAGTATGTTTTAATCACATAGATAATTGTGTGATATATTTTAAAGCTGTAACTGGTATTTACTGAACTGATTTTTTTTAAGGGGAAAAAAAAAGAGAGTCCTCCAGGTAGTTTCAGTGGAAATGTTCTGAATCGGGCTTTTTTCATCTCAAAATAAATACACCACTTTATAACACTTGGCATTTTGAAAATAATTTTTTAGGTGAAAATAATTTAGATTAGCCTTCTTTGGGTAAGTGGAATGTTTGTTTACATTTCATATGTTTAACTGTATTTTGCTGAGTTGGAATGAAAACATAAAATAAATGAAAACGTTTTCTATTTTGATTGGGATACTGTCATCCCAGAGCCTGATCTGGTTGGTTGAGTAGTAATTTCTTTGTTCTCTGATTTTCCTAAGAATGCAAATGAAAACCACTCATTTTTATTTGGCATTAAAACTGCACTTTATTTTGTCAAAGGAGAGGTTTCTCCTTGAATTGTAAGTACAAAAAGTGTTTTTAATCTTCAATGAATATCCTTATTAATTCACTTTCAAGATAATCTGATGTTGATTTGTCAAATTTAATTACAGCTTCCGGTAACACTTGAAGTCTACTTGCTTTTGCTTCAAAATTGTAATATGAAAATGCAAATTGAATGATAATTTGCAAGGGAGTGGGCATTTTAGTTGAACACTCAAAGACAAGTTCCTTGTGGAAATGAGGCTATTGATGCAGTTTATGATTTTTCCTCTTCAAGCACTTTAAACAAATTAACTTTATTTCCTGCAGGATTTCATGTACATCCATAAATTCTAGTGAAGTCCTATAGATGTACTTTCAGATTATTTTTTTAATGTTTTAAGTAAAAACCAAACTGAAGTCTGAAATCTAGCAAATACAAATCAAATAGCAGGAGATTGCATTTGTTCAGTTGGACTTTTACCTAACATTAGCAATGAGTAACTCATCTCTTTCTAGGAACTGGTGGAAATTTTTTTTTTTTTTTTTTTACTTTTAGGCACTCCAGGCAGCAAGGCAGCTGCTTTTACAGCAACAGACAAGTGGACTGAAGTCTCCTAAGGGCAGTGATAAACAGAGACCACTGCAGGTTAGTAAAGTATCCTTGCTTTTGGGGCCTTACTCTCGGGGAAGAGCTCTGTGCTTGCTCACATGTGAGGCGTGTGTGTGGATGCCTGTGCTCTAATGCCGTGTATGTGCATATTCACATACAAGAGGTTACAGGCTTGCATGCTAGTGACTTCTCATTCACAGAGAAAATTCACTATAAGTTACAAAAGCCTTTTGTGGCTATAGATGCTTAAAAGGTGTAAAACTGAGTTCAGCAGTTATGGTATAAATTAATTCTCTACAGACATGTTGCAAAACTGGTGTGTGATTTTTATACATACATGGATTAAATTGTAAAAATGGCTGTGTTAAGACTAAGAGTAAAAGAGTATCCAGAAAAAAAAAAGCTAAATAACTCATCGGTCCTATGTCTAAGTGACAAACAGAAAAGTGTTCAGAAACTACCAACACAACTGCATGAAATTATGAAAGAGCTGCTTCTGCCATTTTAGAAAAACGTGTCATAGAGTTTCACACTGGGATGCTTTTGGGCTTCAGATTGTGTTTGGGTGGATAGGAGTTCTGTTACTAAATAGTTATTTTAAATGCGTTATTAGTAAAACTATATATAGCGTTTTATTCTTGAAAAATGTTATCTTTCTTGGGTTGGGTTTTTTTTTGAGGTTTAGTTCATTTATTGCTAGTTCAGAGTTCTGTATGAAACTGCATTTTGCTGACAAAACTGGTGCTCTCATTGCATATAGAACCAATATCAGTGTTTAACTGCTGAATTACAGTCTGTTGCAGACAAAAGATGTACATGACAGATGATTTTATTTTGTTCAGGAAATAAAAAAAGTATAACTGCTACCATTCTCTTCCTCGCATCTATTTTTCTGGGTGAGCCTTTATCCTCTTGGGAATTCCCCTGTTTTTTGATGGAATAAAGCATTTTTGTCTCATTTTTAGTTTTTGTTGTTGTTCATAATGGAGGACTCTAGGCACCCGAATTTATCTTTTTCTCTACCAGTGAAATGTTGTGAAATTTGATCACTTGTGCAATTTTTGTATGTAAATCACATTGTCTCCTTTTCTTTGTGAAACTTCATGGAGCAATGTTGGACACAGCAAACAGTTCCACATTCCACATCAGGTCTCTTCAAATATACTTTCAAAGTTGTGTTTATTTGTTGAGAACCAAATAAGAATTTAGGGAAAATGGCTTAAGAAAATGGAAAAAAAGAAAACATGTCAAGTTGGCATCCTGCCATGCTGTAGTTGTAGTCTAGTCCAGAAGTGTAGGAGTCCTGGGACCATCTCAACTTTCCACTGTTTGCCCTTGACTTTGCTTTGTATTAAATAACTTCTAGGCTGAAGGCACACAAGAAGAATAGTCATAAAGGCAGCAGCTTATGAATGACGTTTGTTTAAGTTTTTAGAAGTCAAATTGGTGATCTTGAAGGGTTGAATCATGGAGGCGATTGATTTAATGAATACTGTGAAAGTAGTTTGTTCTGCAAGCTCCTCACTCTGAAAGGTAATGTGTGCTGTACTAGGAGTATACAAGGTCCATGAAGCCCCATGTCCTGTCGCTAAACTGGCCAACACCAGTTGCTAAGAGAAGTATACGAAAAGGGCAAAAATAGCAAAATTTTCCCAATGTGTGTTTCACAGTGAAGTTAGCTTCCTTTAATCCTCCGGCTTGTAAACTGGAGCAGTTCAGCAGCTACTGACTTCTCTGTTCACATTCTCCACCCATTAATAAACCTTCTTTTCAAGGCTGAAGAGATGTAGGGGTGCATTATTTGTGGTAGGCATTGATGAAAGGAGGCAGTCATACACATAACCCAGAGGATGATGAGATGAGGAGAGGGAGTCTTGTGCTTTTCCTGCTCCCAAAGCACTAACCCTGGCCTGATGCCTTTTAAATGCCATGGGCTGGTGTATTGTAGAGACATCCTGCATTATGTGTTTGCTAGGAAGAGGCAGTGCCTCATGAGTCACACTTGCGAGGCAGGAAGAAGAAAATAAAGCAAACAATTTGCTTTTCAGAATTGTAACATGCTCCCTAAAGCAAAAATTATTGCTCATGTTTCCAACTTTTCCTTCCCTGATCAGTATGTACACAGTGCATATTAGCCTTGGACACTTCATTTGGTTCATTTTTAAATGAGAGGAAAATGGAATTTTCTCCCAGACTTTGGTTTATGTATCAAATACCGTGTAAATTCAGGTATAAGCACAAACTCCATTTTAATTTTCTTCTTTAGTGAAAAGGATGTATAAAGGTTTTGAAAATGAGTCCTTGGAGCTTTTCTATTTCTGGCTTTTACTGTTACTACAGAGCTGTTCATTGTTCATTATGTAGTGGAAATTCGCATTTTGAGCATCGTGATGCCTGTTTGACCAAATACTGTAGTATGGGTCATAAAATTGTACAGTATTATTATTTTATTATGCCAAATTTAATGGTAACTTTAGCCAAAATCTCCTAGCAGTAGGAATTGCTAAATGTGTATAAGCAATTTGAGGTTTGTAAGACAAAAATACTTGTGCTTGTGTTTGTGCTTAAGGAAACAGACTTTTCCCGATATTTTAAAATACTTTAATATTAGTGCATTTCTAATTTCCTCTAGTTTCAGAGCAATTTACTAATCTGGCAACTGGAGATGTGATTTATAAATCTAGTAAAAACCTAATAAAAGTTTTAAAACCAGCTCACACATCTGCAGGCAAATGTGGGTGTTAGGTAAGCCTTGCCATTGGCATCTCTCATGTGCTCCATATTTTGATGTAAAGTATTCTATTGTTCCACATGCCAAAGAAGAAGAAAAATGGTATTATTTTTAGTGGCCATCTTTTTGTATTTGATGGATATTTGGGGGAAAGTAGCGTGTGGTGGTTTTATATATGTTCTCTCTGTTATTCCATAATGCGTCAAGTATTCTAGTGACTTACAGCACCTACTAGCTAATCAGCAAGTTGAAAGCTTATTGAAGAAAACTTCAAATTTGTGTCCTCAGCTTTGCAAAAAGAGGGTGTTGGGTAAGTCGTCAAGTTCTATTGCGCTTTACAGAGGGGATGGTTTTGGAGAACTGCTGGGATTTTCCCAGAAAAATTTGTGTGTCTGTTGTATCCTTCTCATGAAAAAGCTTTTTAAATTTACCGCTAGCTATGTGATCTATGATCTATTGTAAAAGAGGAATGTTGTGTTGGCAATTGTTTTTGTTTTAGTTTTTAATGCAAAAGTCACTCTTATTTAGTAGTTGTCCTATGTTTTCGGGGAGACAAGGTTTATAATTAGACTATGAGTTAATAGAATACATACAAAAATTACAGTTTTAGATAGACTCTTATCTTGATCTACTCATACTTTCTGATTTACACTTTTCTGGGTTTCAGACTGCAGATGGCATAACCATTAGCATGTCTTATGCAAAGCAGAAGGAGAAAAACATCCCATCTCACAAGCTTGAGTACCAATTATAGTAGTGGTTTTACTTTCATGTGTAAATAACCAAGTAAATGTATTCGAAACATGTTTGTATATGCTGTTCATTACACTGATGCACCAATTGAATCGATCCAATCAGTACATACATTGATTAATGACATATTGCAGAATAGCTAAGGAGGGTTTGTGATGAGAGTTGAGGATAATGTTAACCTGCATATCATGAGGTCATAGCTTTAAATAATTTACTTTCTTACTGTACATCCTGGAAAACATACTGCAGTAGTAAGGTTAAGATTTCTGTAGTACTGGTTTTTGTTTCAGAATATTTTTATTTTCTGGAGAAGCTGTGATTGTGGTAATCCATGGTGAAGCGAGCTGATTGCTTTCACAGATTTCACTCCTTATCACCACTTTTCCATAGTAGGCATAAGAAGGAAAATGTCACTGGCTCTTAGAACCTGTAGATCACTCTGCTATGGCAGAAAGTCACTGTCCTTATGGCCACTGAAGAACCTGGTGTCCTCTAGCCTGAGTTTTAAAACTGGCAGCTTTATTGTTCTTGTTACACTTGCAAGCACGAGCAGGACTTGCGGTTCTTCAACAACTGCACAGAGCACAAGCATAACCCAGAGGTAAATGCTGTCAATTTGTTGCCATTGGCGGGTGTTCGTGTACTACACTGCAGTTAATTCCCTTGCAGGTAGGCAAATCTCAGTGCTTAGACTAATCTGCCCATGATAAACATACTGTTTGTAGGCTGCATAGCATAGTGATTTGCACAGCTAGTTGTAATTTTATTGTTTGCTCTAAGAGCTATGAAAAGCCTAGCTATTTCTAGTCCCTGTAATGTCTCTAATGAAGTAGTTTATTTTTATAAAGTCAGACTTTGAACTTTATCTCTATTAGAATAAATAGATAATTGCCTTCAATCTCGTAAATTAATATATCTACAATGAATTGGTTACTTATTTTTTCCTTCAGGGTAGGAGTTTTGTTGTCTCGACATCAGTACTAATGCATTCTGCATTAGGATGGCGTGTCAGGAAATCATGACTCCTGGAATCAAAGGGTTAAGCTCAGTGTGTACCAAGACTGTTGTATAAATATCATGCTGTATGGAGTGTTGAGTTGTTAAGGTAAGCTTTGTTTATTTAGCATGAGCACTTCACCAAAGTGTAATAATTTGATAAAATTTGGGAGAAGTAAGTATATGTTTAAGTTTAATTACTTAATGTTTATTGCATTAGAGCATAGTATCATAAGAACCACTTTCTTTAAAGACGTGCAAAATGCAAAAATTTAGCATGAAAGGATATTCATAGTCTCTTTCAGCCTACTCTCCTTGCTTTACTCTCTCCTAGTTTGGTCATCTCCCTTTGGACCTTCACATGGGTCTGAATTCAAAATTCATTGCACATAATAAATAAGCAAACATATCATTAATATTGTAACTTTTAGTTACTTTTTTAAACATACATAAGGAGCTGTTGAGAGATAAGAAATTGGGAATGTGGGGAAAAAGAAGCAAAACCCACTGCTTTTAAATTATATCCTCTGACTTAATGCACACTGACTGCAACCAT